GCTTCAGGCAAAAAGAGAACTGTGCATTCTATCTATAAAAGTCTATGTCGGGTTAATTTTTCTCCCTAGATTATTAAAGAAGTCAAAAATACTGAAAAATTAAAATTAAGTACATTTGAACTTACAATATATGGTCAGCTTAAGTGCTTTATTTAAACCAAAACAGAATTTCATTATGATTTTCTTTCAATTTAACATAATTAAACCTTTTTTAAGATCATCACTTGGTCAGGAGAAACTGTCAAACACATTAATGCTCTTGGCTAAAAAAAGTGAGATGGGTGAAGGCTATCAAGTGATTGATGAGTTCCTTCCACTTAAGTCAAGGGACTTGTTTTACCTTCAGGCTCTAGTATGGCTAAGCAGTGCACTGGTCTTTTAAAAAAAATGTTGATATTTTATTCATTATTGATTTGGGGGATCCCTTTGATTTGGTAAATATTGCATTACAATATAGTTAGTGTTTATGACTGTTTGGAGGTACATTCTTAAATTTGTGCCTAGGCACATGCCTCTTTTGCCCCTGCCCAGTCTCAGCCCTGCTATAATACCTTTGTTCTGTAGCAAATATTCCTATTCACACTACCTTGTACTCTTTGATTAACTTTCTATCCCCCCTCCCTTTTTAATTACATTCATAAATCAAAGGGGAGGAATTATTTTAAGTACCTTTGAAGAAAAGAGCATATATTTCTAATAAATATGCCAGACAAGCAATTAAAAAAATTGTAAGTCTTGCATCTTTAGTAATAAAACTCTCCTCTAATCCCATTTTGAATGAAGCCAAAAAGTTAAGTATACAAACATAAGAAAAAATGATGAATTCTCCTTTCACTCCCAATTCTGATGTTGCATAAAAAAGGGAAAAACCAAAATCAAAACAAAAACATTAAGTTCCCAAATATCACTAAATGTTTGCTCTTTCAAAACAAAAATAATAATAAATATTTTCTCATTCTTGGTTTTACACTCTTTTGAAAATGTGTTTTTCCCCCTCCAAATCAAATTTTATACAGTTTACACTTGGCCTCACAGGAATCTAAAGCTTTATTAAGTATGTGAATGGGAAGGGGGCAAAGTACAGAAACTTCAGGGGAAAAATCAAAGGGTCTGAAGTGAATGAGGGATTTTCTTTTAGACACAATGCCACAGCTTAAAGTGGATGAGTTCTCCCTTGGGCCATATTACCTCATAGGTTGTTATGTAATGCACACCAAGGTAGAATCTAGTGATGCCCATCCCTGCTAAGTACTTGTAAATGAACCAAAGGTTGAAGCTCAAAGCAACGTTAGCATATTGTTAATATTTATTTAGCATTTATTATAAACCAGATACTATTTTAAGAGCCTTAGAGATAATATTTTGGTGCTACTTTTTAATCTACAGTTTACAGATGAGAAAACTGAGACTGACATCAATTAATTTACTCAAGATCATACAGCTAATAGAAGTGGAGCTGGAATTTGAACTTGGGCAATCTGGCTCTAAACCTGGAGCTTTGTAACTAGTGTGTTAAACTACACAAACAAACATGTGTTATTGATGGATAAATGACATGCCAATGGAGCCAGCACCATCTGTCAGTTTGGGTACTGTAATTAACTATCACTGTAATCAATGATTATGGTAGTCTATTGTCACTGCAACTCTTCTTCACCATTATCTCCTAACTTAAGTGCCACCCACCAGCCTACTATTTAAAAGCTTCTGCCTAGGTTCTCTATCAGGTCTCCAGACAATCAAATGGTTCACTGTTCTGGGCAGGCCCTGGGTTTGGCTCCCCAAACATCTAAGTCTGATTATATCCTCCTTCATCTTCCAAGTCAACTTCAAATCCTTTCTCTTTTCAGAAGCTATCCATGAAATCTTCAAGTCACACCTCTTTCTCTTCTCCAAACTTCAAGTTGATTTATGATATAGAACATCATTTCCCTTTTTGACTTTTTGAAGGTCAAAAATCACCCACCTCAAAATCCTCTTGTAATTGTAAATGCATAGTATCCAACTTGGTGGATCTGAGCCTGATGTTCTAAGCCTTTGCTGCTCATTAGATCCATATGAGAAGCTTTAAGAAATCCCCATTTCAGATTGTAACCCAGAAAAAATGAATCAGCATCTCTGGGGACAGGGTTGTCATAGACGTTTTTTAAGCTTCCCAGGTGATTCAAAAGGGCAGGTAAACCTGAGCCACTAATGTAACACCTATTACCTTTCACTCTGTGGCATACTGCATAACATGCTTCCTATTATTTTTGTACTTGTAGGCCCTCCTCAACAAATGTCAAAGCTCTTAAAGGCAAGAAAATGCCTTGGTATTTTAAGCTTTCCCTATTCACAATGTGGATCATGGACCAGCAATATCAGTATCACTTGGGAGCTTGTTAGAAATATAGATTCAGGGGCTGAGGCTGTGGCTCAGTGGCAGAGCACTTGCCTAGCATGTGTAAGGCACTGGGTTCAATCCTTAGCACCACATACAAAAATAAATAAAGGAATGCTGCCCATCTACAACTACAAAAAATCTAAAAAAAGAAATATAGATTCAAAGACCTCTTCCCCAGTTTTACTGATTCAGAAAGAACATGTTACCAAGATCTTCTGCTGCTCCATATGCAAAGTTTGGGAAGCATGGGTCTAAGGTACTAGGAGATCACTTATAGTTTGATGGGTAGGACTTTCAGGCTTCAAAAGGCAATAACAATAAATGCTCTTTCATTAATCTATGCATTTTTACTTCATGACATCACAGTTGGCCATCTGGGCCATTCTTTGGCCTGTTCCCAGAGGAAAACAAACAAACAAAGAAAACCCAATCTCTTCTCTCTCCTGCTAAATAAGTCTTGCCAACTGTTTTCTGTTCTCTGATAACACTTGTCCTTGACATCCACAGAGCTCCCAGGGGCTCATCTCTATATTCCTGAAGCCATGACACTCACCTGAGATCATGGTCTGTGGTCAGTTCACGCAGATCTTTTGATTCTATTTCTTACTCTTAAGAGGGATAGGGAACAAAAGAGACTGGAGAATTACAAAGCTTGGCATGCTTGCGTATATGTGTGCTTCTTCCTTTTCCTAAGAGTACACAAAGATAGTTTCACTTTTTACCTTGGCATTTATGTGCAAAAAGTGTATTTGAAAAGCACAGAAAAATAATTCCCATCAGTGGCTCTTGAAAGTAAAAACTGTATCTAATAATGCCACACAAAAGCAGAAAATCAGTCAGTCAAAACTCTGTGGTTTCTCAGGAGTATACTTTCTAGCTTTTCCACAGGATACCAACAAAATTTCAAATAAATGCAGCTTAATGAGGGATTCACAAAAGAAATACTGCCATGTCTGTTTTCTTGCACAGGGAAGAAAAGTGAATTCACTAAAATTTTGGTGGTATGTGTGTTGTTGGGAAGAAAAGTCATTTGTTACTTTAGATCAGAGTTTAACATTTTGATGATAGTTAGAAATCTAGGAAAAATATAAGTGTGACCTCAATTCTCTAAAATGAAAAGCAAGACCATAAAATGCTAGCACATTTAGCCTATTTATAGTTTGAATATAATTTTATTTGTTCATGGCTCTTGAGGATTGAATCCATATAGAATGTCTTAATGGAACAGAATTTGGCCTGATAATGACTGGAACAGACGTGGATTTTTTAAAAGTGCATTTGAAAGTGTGATCCAATTATAAGACCTTCCTAGCTCTGCTGAAAATGGAATGAAGCTGAATTCAGCAGGACTATTCATGTAATGATCTGGGAAAGAAGAGGATTGAAAAATGCAGATTTCTTTTACACTAAATGTATTTAAAAATAATATAATTTTATTAATATCTGAAATCATCCAAAAAGAAAACTAATCGAATTCAACATCACATTACAGTGTAATTTAGCCTGTGTCATTGTTTCTAAGACTCAACCAAATAAGATATAGCATTGTTTTATATATCATTAAGAAAGAAAAAAATGCATATGACTAAAAAAGAAAAAATGCTACAAATTAAGATATTCCATTGATAATAAGATTGATCTCATCTTTGAAGATGATAAACCATGCGTAAAATGTATCTTAGAATTATTAAAACTGAGCAGATAAAAAGCATAAAATAAATGATACTTTCATAAGAGAACAGTAACAACTTTTCATGTCATAAATTTAAAGTTGGGTGTCATGGTGATAATATTGCTCCTGGTTAGTGATGCCATATTAATCCTTTAACTGGTTTTCCAACTGCTCAGCACCTCCACACACTGTGCCTCTGTAGACATCATTGGAATTAGCCATAAAATCTTACTGATGCAAAAATCCAGTGTTCCTTTAGGGAAGAATAGTAGCAAACAATATTCTACAGCATAGTTTCATATTCCTCACTGCAAACTTAGGTGAATGTGAAGACCAGGGTACATTTGCATCAAAAGTATACAAGCTACGTGCTGGAGATGTAGCTCAGTGGTATAGCACTTTCCTAGCATGCATGAGGTTCTGCGTTCAATCCCCAGTACTACATAAAAAAAGAAAAAAATATTTAAGAAGAATACAAGTTATAAAGGATAGGAAAGCCAAGAAAGAGCACACCTCTAATTTCAAATGAATTGCTTTCACGGATAAAACTGTTCAAGACATCTCTAGGCATGGCCTTTTGGGCTCCTGAGCACAGTTATCAAGATTCTAAAAGAAGAATCACTGATGTGCATCATAGTCCTCTGAGTCTTTGCCAGTGATTTAGTGTTCTTTTTTTCCCAGTAAACACAGTCGAAAGGATCTCAAGGGGCTACAGAAAGCTGAAAATGAAATAGAAAAGTCTTGTAAAGTGGTTTCTAATTCAATAAGTGGATTGGTAAGACTGAAGCATTTTCTGGTTAGGTGGAGTGATCAGAGTTGCCAGAAAGCTGCCAAAATTCCACTTTGGTCACCCTGCATGGAGTTATGTAAATGTTTCTAATTCTTTAGAAATGGAAATAGAAATCCCCAACGTGGCTTTAGAAAATGGAAAACTGGCATACTCACGATGATTGGGAAGCCTTCCTTCTGAGTAAATAGTCCACGACATCAGGATCCGTCTCTAACAGGCTGATCAGTACTTCATTCTGGAGATCTGGGGGAACCTGAAGAAGCCAAGTGTTGAGGCATAAATAAAATCATTCCAGAATGGGGCAAAACATAGTAATTGGCAACTTTATGATATCATAAAACAGTGCCTTAAAAGTCTAAGAAAGCAAAGTGATTTACTAGTTAAAATTAAACTCACACCAACCCAGACAGCAAGTTTAATTCTAAGAACCAACGGAATGGTATTCAAATAATCATATTTGATAAAAAATGTCACACTCATATACCTGGAGATACAACCTAGTCATTTGGTCACCTCTGTTGCTCAGATTAGATTTTCTTGGCTTTGAGTAAGCAAAACATCATGGTTAAGAAGAATGGTGTTCATAATTTATTGTGTAAATGGGGACACTCTAGAGTTCATATTTTAAATGATGCCAAAGCTACAGGCATAAATTTAGACTGTCTTGAGCAATTCTGGAACATATGATTCTTTTATTAAGAGGGCAGGCCCTTGAGCCAGATTGCTTGAATTCTAGCTTTATCACTTATTATCTGAGGGACCTTTCGTAACATACATTAATAAGGATCTTTCTGACTCTTGGTTTTCTCATCTATAAAATGGAAATAACAATAGTACTCACCACAAACTGGAGCTGTAGTGATTAAATTACTAATTTTGTGTCAATAATTTAGAACAGTATCTGGTCAATGATAATCACCCAAAAAAAGGAAAAAAAAATACTAGCACTATGACTGCACTGTCACTTAGTGCCTGCCTTCTCTCCTTTCTTGCACCCTGTTTCCTCAAGATTTAGCCATTTCTAGCTTCATAATTTCATAGAAATCCACTAGAATTTTATGGATTGGCATCATTTGTTTCTCTAAGTCTAATCCACAATGCAACCAAAGATGGCCTTAAGTCACCCATGTGGAAATGTTCTATAAGAGAAGACTAAATCCAGTTCTGACCAATGGTCTTCTACTCTATATATGCTGTTAGCCCAACCAGAGAAAGTGTAAATTATTGAGAAAAAAACAATTTTTTCAGTCTGATTCTCTCACATGCAGACTCAGAGAGAAGAATTTTTAAAACCACAGGGACAAGTCTTCTGAGAATAAGTGGTTGGTAGAAGAATTTTCCTTCTGCCTCTTGCAGAACTCAATTGTTCTTGATCTCTAAGAAGCTGGAAACAATTTTATTAATAAAAACAGGGATGAGAAAGCAAGAAAATGCTTTCCTTTTCTCATAAATCTGTTCCTCTTACTTCATCCCAAATCTTAATTAATGGCACTGCCAAACCCTAGTCACATAAGCTCAGACTTTCAGAGTTGTATTCCATCTGCTATGACCCAAGTTCAAGTCTTCATTACCCCTTTGTAGTAGTCATATGTTGGCCATTACAAGTCTCCATTTCCCTCTTATTATAACAGTTATACCCTAAGTTCACTCAGGAAAACCAACCACTTCCTACCCCACCCCTTCCTCAAGAGTGAAGTATGTACTGTAATCAAAGTTGACCAATAATTTCATTCCCAGACCACCATGGTTGGTGAGAAATGGCCACGTGATTCCATTAGAGGCAATGTAAAGCTATGAGAATTTCCCTGAGGGTTGTAGGAGACAGGAATTGTAGACATACAGAACCTTAGAATTATGTTGACAATTGAGCAAATAATAAGAAGTGGAGGGGGGTGTAATAAGAAAAAGGAAGAGAAGGAGGGGGAGGAAGAAGAAGAAGAGGAGAAGGAGGAGGACAGAAAAGAGAATTTCTTGATGGCATTTGAGTCTTGTGTCAAGCTATGCCTAAAAACACATCTGCTTTTAATTACAGCTACATGAGCCCTGAAGTTCTTTAAGCTATTGTGTTTATAGAGTAAAATAAATGTACATATTTGATGGGACCTTTAATATAACAGCTTGCTAAATTTTGCACTATTTCCTTGAAATGTGCATCAATGCTCCTCTCCACACAGTTGTTAGAATGGTCTGATCAAGATATTCACTTGCTCAAAATGCTTTTCAACACCACAGTTAAAGTCCTCCATATGTTTGCTATCCTTAATATGTGTGTTCCATCTTCTGTCCTAGCAATCATCCCCACATATTCTCTTCTTCAGCACCACTGCATTTCTCACTCCAGCCCCCTTGTTCCACCTCTGCTCCTTTCAATCAGTGCAAAGATATTTGGTGAATACTTATTGAGTGTCAGGTACTGGATGCTGGGATATAAACCAAACAGAGAAGAATTCTGGTCCTCATGAAACTGGAGATAAACACTGAAAGATGGGAAATAAGCAAATACACAAGGAAAGCCTAGCCTGGATCATGTGCAGAAAAACAAAACAAATAAGTGTGATGGAAAATTCTGGGTGAGGTACAATGTTAAATAGGATGGTTAGTTTGCAGAGAAGCTGACATGTTAGCAGAGAACTAAAGTTGATTAAGGACTTTGAGATAATCATTCCAGGCAGAAGGAGGAATGGAATCACCATATGACCCAGCTATACCACTTCTTGGTATATATCCAAGAGAAGTAAAATAAGTGTATCATAATGATTAATGCACACCAATGTTTACATCAGCATAATTCACAACAGCCAAGTTATATAACTAGCCTAAGTGCCTGTGAACAGATGAGTGGATGAAGAAAATGTGGTACATATACACAAAGGAGTTTTACTCAACCCTAAAGAAGAATGAAATTAATGCATTATGGATGGTACTAGACAATGTCATGTTAATTGAAATATGCCAGACTGAGAACATCAAGAGTTGAACATTTTGTCTGATATGAGAGAGAGAGAGAGAGAGAGAGAGAGAGAGAGAGAGAGAGAGAGAGAGAGAGAGAGAGAGAAATATAGAATCTCACAAAAATAGAAGGGGGGCCAATTGAGTAGAGGAAGAAGAGAAGGAAGGAGATGGGCAGAGCATGAAGAAGTAGTGGCGAGTAAAATCTACCAAATTATGCTAAGTTCATGTATGAATAAATACAATAAACCATGCTTATACATATAATTATGATACCATAATTAAAATAATAATGGTAATCAAAAGGAGATAAGTAGAGTAGAGACAAAGGATTGGGGTGAGGGAGAAAGGCAGTTACTGGAAAATGAGATTGATCAAATTATATAATATGCATGTGTGAATGTGGCATAATGAATCCCATATTAGGATTAGTTACAATGCAACAATAAAAATAATTAAAAACGAACATCAAGGCAAAAAAATATTGTAAGCCAAAATGTATATCTTGAATTCTTTGTTAAAAGAAATGTGTATGAGCTAATTAGGGAAAGTGCTTACATTTCCATCCAATTAGTTTAACCTAAAATTTTCCCTGCTTAGATGTATAATAAATAAATTTTGCTCCAAGCACAATTCCATTCTCACTGAAAAATAAACAAGAGTGCATGCCCTTTGGAGTATTGCAGGCATTACAATATTAATTATTTGAGAATAGAATGTACATCTAAATTATCAACTTGCAATATTAGAATATATTACAGAAAGTGTTATTATTTTAAAAATAACTTTCCATATTTTTTGTTAGACTATTCTGCATTTCAGAGCTTACTCATTCAACTAGGCTTGACCCGGTTTATTTTACGTAGGACATGTGACTCTTACTTGATACAAATGCAAATAAAAAAATTCATTATACTATCTTGGCTTGGAGAAACTATTGACAAATAAGTAAAGAGATACAGCTTAAAATGTGGATGCATGATTATAGCATTGATAATATTTTCCTATATATTATGCAAAACTGACTACAGTGCATATAATTCATTAATTTATTTTTATCCCATTTTGTTACAGAATGATTCAAGGAATCTTAAATAATTCATATGATAAAATAACATTTTTTCACATTTTTAAAATAAAGGAATGATTCAGAAAACTGTAGCCAGTAGGAAAATTAGATAGGGAATTTGAAATGATGCTTGGAACTGATTTTTTAATGTTCATATAACAGCATTTAGTTCTGTTTTCCCATGACTCTTCTAGTCTTTCTCTACAATTACAAATTTAATTTCAGATCACTTAATAAAAATTGAAAACCACAGGTTCAGTTCACTTGGATAAGCATTCACTTCTATTAATTTAAGTAATTCATAGAAAAACAAAGTCATAAATTAACTGATAAGGAACAGCAGCTTAAATAAGTAAGAAAGAAATAACCAAGCAGATCCTTCACTTCTTCATACCATTTTAGGAGTTAGGATGTTGTCAAAAAATATATGACTGAGTTTATAGCCCTTTAAGTCCAGTTTTGGCTGATTAAAATTAATTTCAATGTGGACACAGCAATTACCCTCTTCACAATTCTGTTCCTGCGTCTGAAAATATTCTGACCCATTTTCCTTAATGAAAGTGTTATGAAAATCAAAAAGTCTAATCAATTTGAAAATACCTTATTGATTATAAATGGACTAATAAAACGTTTTATTAGAAATAGAAGAAATAAGTTCAACATTGAAAAGAAAAAAATAGAAACAATTAATATGGAATTGGACAATATTGGTTCTGTGATTTCTTTTTCTCAGATAATAGTGGTCCATTTCTGTCTCTGTCTCCATTGGCCTCCGAGAAGAACCATTCTCTTCTCTTTTGCTTAACAGTTCTGTTGGGTAACAAATTATGTGATTTTTCTCTTGATATTTGTCTGCTCCTAACCTCCTTCTAAATTTCTAGAATTACAGCCTATGACTGCTCAGTCCCTTAACTTTAATGGTTTTGAGAAATACTGTCAGTCCCCACTCTTCCAGTTCCTTCTCTTCTGCCAGACCTTGAGTCTTCCTGCTGGTCCACATCATTAAAAGGTTAAGTTTCCTGAAGACAAGGATTTTCTGATTTGTCGACCTGGAATTGATACAAGCTCCTAATGTAGTTCTTTTTAAGCTAACCTTCCTTGCAGCTAGAGCAAGATCATGTGTGCCAATCCTGGCCAATCCCAAGAGGGGCCTTGTAGGAGCATCCAGAAATGTCTCTTTTCTCTGTATATTGAAAAGAGATGTTTGAAATAAAATATCATTCTTCATCACTTGA